TTTTTTTTTATTTTTCTAGTTTTTTTTTAAATCTAACTTCTCATTTGTTTGCTTATTTGAGACTGTCGGTTTATCTGGCGGTTGTGTTGGCTTGCCATGTTATTGTGGGTGGCGTGCAGGGTCTTACCCGTTGTCAACTTTGCAAGGTGTTGTGTTGTTGTTTTTCCGTCACGAGGCTTTGTAGGCCGTGGAAGCCTTCTTGAGGCCGTAGTGAAATGTGTGTAATTGCAGCCGGTGTGTGAGTCTGTGCTTTTTGTGTTGAGGTCTCTAGGCTGGCTGCCAGAAGCCACATTGCTTAATTTAATTCTTGGACCGGATTCCACATTCATGCGCGATGTTAAGATTATATATACAGTAGTTTTTCATTAGCTTGGATATTCTGCGTGGAACAGATCATAACAAAGGGGGTTCTCTAAATATTTAGGACCATGACATAATTCTTGGAAATGAGACAGAACATGAGTAATTTTTTTTCTCTCTCTCTCTCTCAGAAACACATTTTAAACCCTGCAGAGGCAATTGCTAGCAACAGCGAGCCCTGTTTACATGTATTTTCCTAGAGGTCATCCAGCAGTCTTTCTTTTGATCTGAAAATCTATGTCTTGATTAAATGTGTGCTGATTTATATATATATAAATATATATATATATATATTTAAGTAAGATAGAAAGCTGTACATAGGCTCTTAGGAAGTACAAAAAGAGAGAGAGAGAAAAGAATAAGAAAGACAAAAGATAATTTGTCTTGTTTTAACTGAAGGTAGTCCTCCAGTGTCAGAGCACCCACAATTTCTGGTGGCAAGCTGTTCCACTGGCTAATTGTCCTCACAGTTAGGGAGTTTCTCCCTAATTCCAGGTTGCATCTCTCCTTGATGAGTTTCCATCCGTTGCTTCTTGTTCTTTTTTTGACTACCTTCTCATCTCCAACACTGTGCAAAATAGACAGGTGGTCCTCGGCCTACGACCACGGATGAGATATGCGCAGATGAGGCTTCCGTAAAGAGTTTGCGGGTTTATCATTATTTTCAGAAATCTGACTTGATTTCTAAGACTGGCTTATATACTAAACGTAGCTGCAACGCTTCTGTTTGAGAAGCTTCATTTTTCTCTCCTTCCACCTTAACTGCCCCCTGAATATCTGCAGAACCAATTATCCAGTCCTGCCTATGTAAGCATTGCCTTTTATTATTATTATTATTATTTTTTTTTGCAATTGTGCTGATCTTGGACCAACCACTTCTTTCTTTCCATCGCTTCCATCTTCAGATTCCCAGTTGGATTCCTTTCTTCCCAGCTCTCTAAGATTACCGAGACTCCTTTCCCAAACTAACAGCTTCCCCTTTGGCGAAGGGCAGAGGTCTGCCTCCTCCTCGCAGACCGTTTTCTCAGCAGTCTAGCTCTGTCTCAGGTTTCCCACAAGCAAAAGTTGTAATTTTTTATTTTTAAAAAATATATATTGTTATAATTATGGCTTTGTGGTGCGTTCGAGATAACCCAGATGGTTTTGTGTCTAAGGAAGGACTGGAACTCACTGTCTCCTGGTGAATGGCCCAAACTCACCCAGCCAGCTTTTATGCCTATAGAGGAACTAGAACTCACCGTCTCCTGGTGATTGGCCCAGAATCCCCCAGCCGGCTTTCATGGCTAAAGCAGGACTAGAACTCACCGTCTCCTGGTGATTGGCCCAAAGTCAACCAGCTGGCTTTCATTCTGAAGGCGGGACTAGAACTCACCGTCTCCTGGTGATTGGCCCCAAAGTCACCCAGCCGGCTTTTACGCCTATAGAGGAACTAGAACTCACCGTCTCCTGGTGATTGGCCCCAAAGTCACCCAACTGTCTTTCATGCCTAAGGCAGAACTAGAACTCACCATCTCCTGGTTTCTAACCTGATACCTTAATCACTAGGCATTGAAATAGGTAGGATGTTTTCTGGTCCTCACAGCTGTGTGTAGAAGAGATGAATAATGTATTTATGACGGTCGCAGTGTCCTGGGGGGGGTGTCACGTGATCCCCTTTTGGGACCCTCTGACAAGCAAAGTCAGCTTCACTTAACAACTTTTATTTTATTTATTTATTTTATTTTTTTATTTTTCATAATTTATATGCCGCCCTTCTCCCCACGGGACTCAGGGCGGCTCACAGCATATTAAAATAACACAATACAAACAACACACACAACATTTCCCCTATAAAAGCCAATTAAAACCGAATATTTGTAGCTGTGACATTATTAAAATCATTAAAAATTATCCCTATTTAAAATTCACCCTAGGT